TGCTCGGAAAAAGGATTGGTCGAAAAGTAAGATGTGTTCAATATCGGCACTTTGCTGTTTACATTTCCAATAGAAAGGAAACGGCTTTTTTAAACTAATCCCAAAGGGTTTAATTGGGCCGGAACACTTCTAAAATGTCACATTTTGAAATTTTCTGCTAATTAAGTTTGAATTTCGAGTTTCGAGGTCTAAGATCGATTTTGAGTTACTCGGTGAATGATTCCTACTTCTGCCAATGAACACGGCGCAAAAACCGCCGACGTCCGGTGAATTTGCAAACACTTCTATTCTTGCATTTGCTTTTTGTTTTTTTTTTCACTCAGGATAATCTTTTAGGTCAGCGATACTGTGAACTAATCATTTTCTGTAAATAAGAAGATTGTTGATTTTGGCTGCAGGTATCTGCGTTTCCTGCTTACGTTTTGATTATAGAAAATATAGCAGTTGATTCCTCAATTATTGTATCTAGAAACAGACTGAGGTAGCTCGTGATAACCGTGGATAGAAAGCACGAATTTCGATTTGATAATGGCTATGACCAAACTGATAGAGGGTGTATAAATGTATGTTGGTTTCATTTCTTTATATTTCAGCGTTAGCAAAGTAGACTTATATAAGGAGTGATGTGGCATGTATTATTTAAATGTACAATTTGGGACATAAAAAATACGTAAATTTGTAACTGTAAAACTGAGTTATTTTGGGTGTTAAAAATCTCAACGCACTTACCCATCAGAAATCGCACATAGAATGTTATAGAGATATGTGTTTTTAAAAGTGCAAGGCATGGATCGTATTTAAATCGAGAATTACGAACACACCCTGTTGTTTGTTTGTTCTTTGTTTTTGTTTGTTTGTTCGTTTGTTGTTGTTGTTTTTGATGCATTTCCCAGTTGCGACTCAGTTTACTCAATGCGCAATTCATAACCATAGACGAAAGGTGTTCAGTACGAGGCCCAGCCTAGGTTTCTTACAGCGTTGCGCAAACAGAACTTCTTTTATGGGCGCTTATTTGTAGGAAACTGAAGTGCCTAAACCTTACATTTGTTTATAGTTTATAGTGGCAAGAATTACGTAGGGGACATTCTCGTTTGCTGGAAACCAAAATTCAAGAAGATGCGTTCAATTTAGACGGAATTGAGCGACGTTTATAACAGCGAATGACGAGAGCGGCCAAACAGTAAACGATGACTGACTGGCACGTCAGCAGATGTTGGTCTTGGTTTTCAGCGTCAAACATTTCTCATAGATATATATGAGTTCCATTTTGTTGGAAACGTTAAGTCGGAAAAAATACAACTTTCATATTTTTCTTCATTTGCCACCGAACGCTATAAAACCAGCTGATTTTGGACCCGCGAATCAGTATGGTGACCTTATTACGTTAAGGTGTCGCCACTCGATTTCCGGATGACTTTCGTACCGAGATTTTAGTTCCGCTATCATGCGAGCAATGTAAACTATGAGCGACCACTCATTTCGGTAGGATATTGGTTTCTTCGTAGACTGAAAAAGGTTGCACATTTTCGTCATACAAAAGAGCGTCATGTGAGCCAGTAGGACTTGGAATGATCAAAAACGGTCCCTTCGTGTATACTCGGCATGAAATCACGCGGTCATATTGGTTTAAAATTCGCACCAGTACGACCTTTTCACGTGTACACATACCCTAATTTTGCTACGGTACTGTAAATAGACATGAACATGGCGAAATGATATAACAAATGCGTCGATGAAAAGAAGAAAAGACTTTACACTAACTCCGGAACGGATCTATGAATTGCGAAGCATTAACCCAATCCATTTCACCAACTCATCTCGCAGTTTAATAAAGTGGAAAAGTAGTCTGTTGCGGGCGGAACAAGTCCGCCTATGTATGAATTGAACAGCTGAGCTATTGAACGAACAGAGCAAACTCCAGGGATACCGAACAGGTCTTAACTCTGGTGATCGGACGAGACACGTTTGTTACCTTATGTAACGTCTTAGACAAGGTGCTTTCACGGTATAATGTATCCTGATATATTTTATAACGGTTGTGTTCTGCGCTAGTTCTCAAAAAATGGTAGTGAGCTTTAAATTCGCTTTTCTTCTCCCTGCTGAATTCGATATAAAAATTATTTTGTGACCTATGGATTAAAAACGTAGCGCGGTGGTTACAGATGATATATTTTCAAAGTTCAGTGACTCAAAGTCCTCAAAGCCACTTTGATTTAATTAAAACAGGAAGGGATGATGTGAAAGTTTCAGATCGATCAAACTGACAGTTCGAGTATACGAGCGCGATTTTTCTACCAGGTTCATCACCATATCGCTTATAGAAAACGAGGGCGAGTAGTCTAATTGTCTTAGTTGACACTCTAAAGGATCTAAGTCCACTGAAATCCTACAATGTTATCTATTTCTGTAGGCCAAAATTTAAAATAGTTTTCCTTAAGTTTATGACACTAACGCGCGTGATCGTATTTTCTCAGGGAATAAGCAACAACGGGTGAACCAATCAGTTTGGTAGATTTCCAGTAGAACGCGCTGTGCCTGCTAAAGATGGATATAAATCACTGACAACCGGCGAGTGAGAGTCAGAAAAGATTTTACATTTTGTTTACATTAGGTATGACGTCCAGTATCCGTGGGCAGACCATTTACACTAAATTGAGTGCCTTTTGTTTCCGTAATTATTTTCATCGCTGTTGACTGATAATTGAATTTAGAGGAGACGTATTTTCACTTGGGTGCAGTTGCTTCCACAATACCTTGTACTCTTGTATCTGATATTTGAACAGTTTGTAAGATTCTCTGACAAAGACACAGTTGATTACAAAACGCAAGGTCAGTACATAAGTTTCAACTCGAATGAGTAAGGTTGATGTGAAAACGCATTCTCCAAAATCTATTTTCCGTGTCATCTAAACAGAAAGGTTTGAGGTGACACTAACTTGTGACGCTAACTCGTCGACGATAAGTTGTTCGTGCTTTTCTTCAACAACAAACATTTTATTTGTTTGGATAATCTTCTGTCGAGATTCACATGGACCGTGAAATGAACGTGATGAAAGTAAACGTAAATGTAATATTTGGTCAGATCTGCGTTGCGTGCATCTTGTGGACCAACTAAGCGAGATACAGTATTCTTCAAACGTTATGGATCAAACTTCTAAACTATTCGATTGTATTTATACTAATAACTTTACGCTTGTATCTATAAAAGAACGGATCTTCGGAATTCACGTTCGATATTTAAATAACATTAAACTAATACTCCACTACTCGTTCGTTTATCCCTTCGATTCTTCATTGTTACCGACTTTGGCCACTCACAGACAAAACAGACTAGAGATCGAACTTTTTACGATAATACTTTTGTAATGTGAGCAAAATCAGTAGAACAGAACAGTCAAATAAATAACTTTCAACGACCTACATTGCATCGAACAAAGCCAAATTGCTGCTACTTCTATTTGCACCTGTGACGAACCCTGATGTGGGTGAGTCTTTTGATCTCTGGCGGACTGATCAAAATGTGATTGTTTGAGCCAGTGGTAAGCTTAATTGAATGTCACAAACAACGATATTTTACTTTCACGGTGCTAAAACTAAAACTATGAGCAGGCAAATATGATGTGGGCGTTCTTGTGGAACAGAAATTCATCTCTGTCAAATAGTCCAATTTGTACAGTCGATTTATTGGAGCAAGAAGGCGCCAGCATCAGTGAATCGCCCACTAGACCATCACACACCGCATGAAGACGGGTTTGACATTTTCTAAAAACTCCCTTAAATTAATTGCTATTTGATTAATGCATATCGATCTCGCAATCATATGCTGACACAAAAATAAAGTTCGGGAAAAGTGCCTTTTAGTCCTCAATTGGGCTTATCTACCGAAGCGGATCAGACTGTGTGGCAGGTGAGCGTGAAACTGCATGTAGTATGCATTTTTCTCTGCCTTGTTTTTGTTAGGTGGCATATATTTGGGTGGTTTTACATTCATAAAATGAAGAGGAAACACTTAGAAATATCATAATAGCTATGAAAGTGTGAAACTGTAAATGAAACCTGTCAGTTCTTGTAATTTGGCAGAATTTAGTTACCCATGAAATGCGATTTTTCAGTCCAGCAGACTACTGAGTCAGTTGAAAACATTGTGCTTTCTTATACTACCTGTAAAAACATAATTTATTTTACTTTTAGTTTAGTTTTGAAGACGTCAGAATCGCTGAGGGCCTTCAAGTTTCTATGATAATCAGCGTCTACACCAAGAATTCCACGCTAACACTGCTAACAAATTGAATGTGGTTTTGCTGAACAATTGCTTTTAGCCGGAGGCCTTTTATGAACAATCGAACGTGAAATATCGATCAATATAGGCTCAACCGCTTTTTCATGTAAATCAACCTCTTATCCATAATATACGTTTGCGGAATCAATCTTCGATATTTTTATGACTATTTACATTAGCAAATAAACGGTTTGCTTTTTTTCACACCGTTCTTTGTAACGTTCGAGGTGTGCGAATACTAAGCAAAATTGTACAATCGAACAACTATGTCAATCATCTCAAAATAATCTTTGCGAAGGGAATAGGGAAGGTTAATAACTGGTTGTGTTTTCATAAATGAAGAGAGAAACGAGTTACTGGCTAGTCTACTAAAAATATTGCCGCTTAACTAAGCAGACGTATGTTTAAGATCCGGACGAGCCGGAGAGTCCTAGCGGTTTTCATCCGATAACGAAGTGATGACGACTGGGTTATCTGTGCTGAAGTATTTGAATGTGAAGTCATGCAATTATAATGACAGATCGTCTCCGTCAAACACTTACGCACGCGATTTAGACGTAAATACATCCTTTGATATTTTGAAACAAACAACTTTGTTCGTTATCAAGTTGAGTCTATTTACATCGATGTTTATCTTAAAATTTGATTTAAAATGTCACTCGGGAGATGTTATTCTACTTAGTCTACGACTGTTGTTGAATTGCTATTTTCACCTTTACAGATCATCATGATTTTGGGTGGAACAAATAACTCGTCAGCAGCAAATGTCTCTACTCATGGGGAACCCAAATGTGCATTTGAAAACGCAAGTAGCATCACTACAAATCTGGTAATCATAGGTTTTATCTTGATCTTGTTCTCCTCTCTAGTCGGAAATTCTCTCTTGATCCGAGTTGTACTCAGTGATAAAGAAGCAAGAAAGAAATTTCCCTTCAACTTTTTGATAATCAACATGGCGATTGCGGATATCATGAATGCCTCGTCGGCTTCACTCGTGTTTATCTTGTTCCTGACCATTGGTAGACTCTGGGTGTCGGGAATATTCGGAGAAATAACTTGTAAGGTATCTTACTTCTCGGTGGGCTTCTCCGTCGCCGCATCCATTCTAACCGTTGTCGTCATGGGATTGGACCGCTTCATGGCAGCACACGCAACTATCAGGCCGCTCACGAAGAGAGGTGTCAAACGTGCTATGGCATTGATATGGGTATTGGCAGGATTATTGTGCATCCCATATTTTTACATTTTTAGATTGGAGCAAGGCTCAGATGGCAGGCATTATTGTATCAGGAAATGGAGCGAAGACGCAGAAGAAAACCTTAAGTCTTTGGCAGTAGAGGAAATGATAAAGTTCGTGGCTCTTTATGCATGTCCTCTAATATTCATGGTGTTTTGTTATGCCATTATTGCGTGTAGAATTCGCCGACGAAGTAAACTTCCCGTGGGGACTAACACCCGATCCAAAATCGTGCAGCAGAATCAACGTGTAGTAGGCATGATTATTGCTATAGTCGTCATATTTGCAGTCTGCTGGTTTCCAGTCCATGTTAATCACTTGTTACGATCATTTGATGAAGAGACCTACTGTAAACTTCCGGCCTACCTTCCTCTGTCGTTTTTTTGGCTGGCCCATGCCAACTGCGCCATCAACCCCTGGATTTGGTTTCTGTTTAGTCGGCATTTTCGAAGTTTACTCAAAGCGACAACTATTCAGTCCATCAGCCGATGGATCGCTGAATCCCCTAAAGATGGCCGGTATGGACACATGCCATTGACTGCAAAACGGACATCGAAAAAACGACTAGAAATTCAAGAAGAGAACGACCAGGCCATAACAGCCGAGCAGGTACTTCTGTAATCGGCTTTGTTTCAACGAACACCAGATAAACAATGAAATTTAAAACGGTATTACCCTGTACTGTCTCGGGAGTAGTACTAATAGCCATGCTAATGATTACACAAAATCCTCCATAATGACTGGATTAAACAACACCCCAGGGGCTAATGTAACTCTAATACCTCAATAACAACTTGAAGTTTAAAGCCAGACTCATTCAGGTCGTTGTGCATAACCGCATTAATAGTAGGTTTTATTACTGGTGTACACATTTATGATGGTTTAGAAAAAAATCGGGAACAGCCATCTTGTTGACGTTTCTTGTGGTCAGGGTGTGACCTAATTATGGCAAAATCAATTATGATAAACTATTCTGACAGACGTCTGACAGTGCTAAGTGGCACTTACTAAAAGAGGGTAAGGCTTCGTATTAGACTGGGTGGGGAGGGGAGGGGCACTAAATCGACTTATTAATTGTGATTCATCGAACTACGGACAAAATTTATGATTTCATGAGACAGAATTTTACCGGCTCTCGATAACTGTTGCATATTTAGCATTGATTTGTTCAAAGCATTTGATGAAATAGTGAGACTATAGTGAAATTGTAACATTAAAGTGCAGTATATGTGTAAAGCCATTGGAGTTCCCTGTTAGTAGAATGTTTCTTCCTTCAGCTAGTTGTATTTGACACAGAAATAAAAATTGCTCGAGGGTAGACAAGAGGTGGTTTAGTGGAGAAGATATAAAATAAAATCAAGGGTAATAAACACCCTGTATTCTTTGCCTTGCCACGAGCTCTTCACATTTTTTTAATATAACAAAGCAAGGGTCGTAGCGAAGCCTCTAATTTCCTTTTACGTTCTCGTCGCAAGGATTTGTTTACGTGGCTTTTTTATTAAATTTGTCTTCAACTCTTACTGTACACGGTATTAATACACCAAAGTCATCGCCGGTTTAAGTATCCTTGATGAACTCAGTAAATTCGTTTTAAATTACAGAAAGAAAAAAACTGTCATGTATTGGTAAGTATTGTTCTTCGTTTTACAATTGTTTCACCGCAACAATCAAACTCCTGGATGAAATAATAACAAGCACAATACTAAACACTGTAGGCTGTTTTTGTTCGTAGTTATCCCTTTTGGTTTTGAATACATGTATGTTAAAGATAATTTCCCTGAATGGACAAATATAGATATATTAAAACCAATTTTAATATTTGAAACATTCGCGATATGTTTTTATCTCAACTGAATCTATAAACCTCTTTTACGTGAATTTCGTATGCATAAGTCGGCTTGGGCGCGAAATTATCTCGTCTGACACAAATATGCATGAGGACTAATATCACCAGCTGAAAGTGATTAATTTTAAAGGTATTCAGACTGATTGGATGCAAGTCGTGCGGCGTCTGATCTATGTGATAACATGAAAAAAATGAAGAAAAGAAAAGAAAACGTCAGTCTCCAAGACTCTCGATTCACACGAAATGACAGTAAACTGAGATAAGAACAGCAATATGAATTCAGCTTTACCGTCACGTCGCACGCTCACCGCTTAAACTTCAAGGAGGTAAAAAAAAAAAGAAAAGACGGCTAGTTGGTTCTTTTCAATCTCTTCTGCACGGAAAATTTAAAAACTAAAAGGTAAGCCATTTGTTTACTTTTTTATTTTAACTTTTCAGAAAACTTCCAGATATTTTCATTCATTAGCAAAGTTAAGGATAATATGAAAAATCTGTACCCATTAGGGCTTCTGGGAATTTTTTCAAAACACTGGATACGCTTTATACGTGTAACATTTTAGAATATTACATGTATTTGCATAACATACTTCTTTATTTACCAGTATGTCGTTTTATTGTCCAATTGCACTCAGCAGATTACAAATTACGTAGTAAACGAGTTAAAATTTCCCACTGGTATAGTTCTACTACTAGCTGCAATTGTAACACCGGTATTACTGTTTATTTTGCGTAAACGTCTTATCCCTATCTCCAGATCACCTGCAAAGCTCAAAGTTTGGATCTTGGAAGAGACCAAAATAGGATATAACACTAGCCGTCATCCGTATTGTGAGTCGCCATAAAATATAACATAATATCGTTTTATTTTAAAGTGATTCAAAAATTAAAAGGTTTTATCGATCAATTTAAATTTGCTCCCTATAAACCTAAAAGAAATGTAAACTAATCTTTGGTCTAAGAGCTAGCTTAGACAAATTTTTCAAAAGTTATGGACGTGCTTATTGGGAATGTAGCCCCGCCTAAGTCATTGTTAAAACAACGCTCTTTGTGGCACTCCGCCCTCAGAAAAATGAACAGCAATAATAGCACAGCATTTATTGGTGACAATTAACCGAAAGAGGTTATAAGTGCAATGTAATCGTATCTGAAAATCGCGCGCCAAACGAAGTTTCACCGTCCAACAGGCGCGTGAAAAAGCTGATACTCACAGAACTTTTCAATAGTTTGTATCCCCTATTCTGGAACTAAAGTTGTAATTTTTAATCAGATTTTTATAATAGCCGTTTTTATACTAAAGACGCATTATCCGTCTGGACGAACTTGGGCAAACATTTGTAGTTCGTCTGGTTATGCGTCTCTAGTATAAAGACGGGCACAAGACGTATTATGCGTCTAGACGAACTATCTCAACTAGTTCGTCGTTCAAGACGAATTTCGAAGTGTAGTTCGTCTAGACGCATAACACGTCTTGTGCCCGTCTTTATACTAGAGACACATGACCAGACGAACTACAAATGTTTGCCCAAGTTCGTCCAGACGAATAATGCGTCTTTGGTATAAAAACGGCGAGGGCGCATTATCCTTCTGGACGGGTAATGCGTCTTCTAGTATAAAAACGGCCATTAGTAAATTGCACAAGCGGCCAATGCTGTAGTAACTCTTCAGTGGCACGTAATGTTATTATTGTTATTGTAACACACCCATACGACGTCGCGTCACAACTGCCTACCTAACATAGTCTGAATCTCAAGGCATGACATTTTAAGTGTCCACTTCTGACCGGTTCAAATAAGATATCAAACATAATGGTGTAAAACTATATAACAAAAATAACTTTATTCTTTGAAAAAAATACCCAAGGGGCTAGGCTCGAGATATTGTATCTTGCCCTCTCATTTCCTTCCAATGGGAGATGTTGAATTAATTGCTCTGCTCGTAGACTCACTTTAGACCACTGACTTGCTACAGATTTTGACTTTTCTGACAAATAGGTTTAGTCGCTTGATTTATTTTGTAAGCGGAATTTCCAATCACAAATCTTCAATTTTTGTAAATTGTGGACGCTTTTTTTTAATTGGTAATAGCATGCTTCTTAAAAGCGTGTGCTTATTAAAACAGATATAATAGTAACCGTATCCTCTTTCGCCATCTCATAGAAGCCTTTGTCGGTCAACTTAAACCGATTTTTCTTAAAGCGAGAAACAAGGAAGGGAAGAAGCTGCGTAAAATCTCGAAACGGCGGAAGTCAAACCGAACCACAATGGATATAACGTTGAAGGTATATTTCCTGAATTTTTATATAAAGCTCTTTCCTTTTCTGATGTTGGCTAATAATTCGAACTTGTAGCCTTAAGGACAAACGGGTCACGTGCCGATCCATTGCATTGCAGTGTACGTTCCTCATATTGATGTTGATTATGGTATTATGCGGATGTATTCTTTTTTGGCGGTTTTATGTTATTTGATTCTCGAGGGTGACTTCAGATTAGAAGAAGTGGAGAATGCACATCTGCACGCCGTCTTAGGACTCATGTATCAAAACACGTAATACAACAACCACAAGATGGTCAAAGATAGTTTATCAAAATCGATCTGTAACATTACGCTATTAGAAGATAGTCAAAGATAGTTTGTCAAAATCAATCTGTAACATGTATGCTATTCAGTAACGGTTATTGCTATTACTGCTTTAACCCTGCTTCGACTGGTGTTCTTGAGTTCGTGGAAGTGGGGAGGGGTGGAATGGACAGAAAGTGCCCTTCCCCTGCTTTACCTACAAATTTATGTCTTGTAAGTGGTCTAAAGCAATAATTTTTCTGGTTACTCTGGCCCTACTTGTTGGTGTGCGACGTCTGTGATCAATGCCTGAATGCGCCATCTTGAATTTCAAGATTATTTTTGATGTCGTGTGACTAAATTGTCTTCCCGCTCCCGCCAACACTGACGAAGTTTAAAAACGTTGGCGTAAGTGGCGTGACGTGTATATATGGTACATCTTTAACTACGAAAGTGTCAACAAACTACCCTCTTTAATATAGTCCTCCAGTCTCATAATTGTTTGACTGTTGTTTGTGTTGAGCTGCAGCGGTGGACAAGTAAAAGACTTAGCTATTTTAGCTATATATGATAAGGAGGATTTAGTCGCCGCATATTTAGTTTGCAAAGCTAACGTTTCGATTGTTAGCCCTTGGTCAGAGGAAAGTAAACTCTTTGGTCTGATGAAGGGCTAATACGATGATTTATGTGCCTTTTTCAACTTCAGGTTTTTAAATAACTAAGTGTTGCTCCTGAAAAAGAGACGAGAGGCATCCCCGCCCATTTCACATGTAGTTCTACGCCCCCCCCCCCGGGAGGGTACTCCCTTATATGGGCTATATAGGTATGTGCGGCCCCAAAGGGTATGATTTTTCGGCCGTTTTGGTCATAAATAGGGTATCAATTTTGTCCATTTGGGTCATAAATAGGGTATGGTTTTGCTCTCTAGTCTTGAATTGGGTATGTTTTTTTTAGAAGAAGCTACTTTTTCATCATTATCTATAAGACCATCAACCAAAGCCCTTCATGAAATTAATTATGTTTAGGGTAACTGTGCCAGCCGCAACAGTCCTAAATAGGGTATCAAATTATTGGAAAGTTCATAAATAGGGTACGGAAAATCGCAGATTTTGGTCATAAATAGGGTAAGGGTTTTGGGGAGTGAGCCGCACACCCTCACCCAATTATGCTGGAAGTTCCCCCCCCCCCGGGGGGGTTCTACCCTGCCTGACTGATCCACAAGAATCGAAACCTCTCCTGGCACTTTCGTAACAACTGTCAAAAATTACGTTAATGACAGCAAGCGCCATGTTAAGGAAAGCACGAAATAAATATATCACGCACACTGCATGTATGTTGCAAAGATTCATTCATGAAACAAATTGCTTATTAGGTTTACAACCCATGCAGCCTCATGCACATCCGAAAAAACAAGAACAACGAAAGTCTTCAATTTATTATAGTATTTTCAACTCTCATGTACAATAGGAAATAACCAAGGAAGCTCCATTACTTTCTTAAAACTAAGCCGTATACTCGGCTGGCGTTAAAACTTTTAGTGAATTTCTACGTCAACGAACTATTCTGTGACTATTATTGTATTGCCAGTTGCCACTTCTAGTACGTTTAGCCATAGTTAAAAGAGGGCAATGGTTATTAACCCCCCATAGTTCTTTGTTGTATGTGTTTTTTCGCTATTTTTTGCACCAAACACAAACGCTGTGTACCATGCACAGCATGACTGAGATAAGAACCAGTTAGAAATGTTTAGGTTACCTAATTGATGCGTAGTGTACATGTATGAGCGCAAAATAAAACGTTGTGCATTGATGTGTTTTCTTTGCCGGGCTACATAACAATTTCCCTCTATTAACCATGCTCTAGCTTCACTACGAATATGAAGGACATCTAAGCGGCTTTGGTCGGTTAAAGGTGCTACGCTCTCTGTTTTGGGTGATCCTTTCGCATGCGACTTAACGATAATTCAAAATGATGGCTTCAAAACACAAGCGAAATGTCTGAAAACAAAGAGGAGAACTAGATGTACGGCCGTTCAAATTATGAATCGTGCAATGAAGTCATGTCAATGTTAAATTCAGTGTGCATGGAATGTATTCTGTGAACTACCAATGTATTGTTCACTGGCTAGATAATTCATTCTGTTTTATCACGAAATAAAGTCTAAACGTCATGAACTGTCTGAAACACCGTGATCAATCCCCTTTAAGCCGATAAATCTCATACTACTCTAAAACCGTCAAAACGTGTTAAATCATGCCACACGGTGACTGCAAATGAAAACCAAGAATTTTACATAGGATAAGATAAATTTGATTTCTCTCTAGATTTCATCATGCGATTTTTTAAAACCGATCTATGCCATCCTTTGAATGGTCTCAACTTCTTCGGAAAACTCTACGTTTTTCTATAAATTAATTCAAGCTAGTCATCTGACATATATTATTAAACTGATTCATGACCTCTTTATATTAATGTGTTTAAATCAAACTCGAAAATGCCGACTTCTTCCGAACCGGGCAAGGCACTGTTCAATACTGGGTATTGTAGTGGAGTTTATTTAGAGCGACTGATGAACAAATCTGGTTGCTTTCTCGCTCATCGGACATATCTACGATACCATATGTTTTACCCTGGATACAAATCGTGTTTGAATCCTACACGTCATCCCATGCATTCGATTTACTTATTATGACTCGGAGGACCGACGTGAAAAGCCATCCATGTGCACCTTTTCGGAGACTCCGCTGTGGCACTCATAAGAATGAGGTGTCCACCTGAACGTTACGCCCTTTTAAACGTCTGATACATAGTGTTATTGGACGTCCTCCTTATAATCAAACTGTTGTCATTTTGTCCATAACGATCATTATGGAGTTACGTTTAGTCTTGCCACCATCGGAGCTGGAGTTTGATGACTTTGATCTAGAGTTCTCTTTTGGCTGCACCAGCCTCCCATATGCATACATTTCTTTCTGGGATCGAGCATTTGAGGGAGGCGGTGAAAATGGAATGTTTTCATCATTGTTATTTCCATTGCGGATACTGCTTCTGACGTGAGTTTGAGTTGTTGTGAATTGCCTGTCTGATCGTTTTCTCACAGACGAATTGAGGCTTGTGTAAGATTCAATGTGCAAGGCTTGCAGAAAGGCTCGACGAAATGTCTTGTTGAAAATTACGTAGAGGACTGGATTGAGTGCGCTGTTGGCATGGCCAAGCCAGAAAGATAACAGAATAAGAAAGAGTGACATGCACTTGAAACTCTCCGCTTCAAAGTATATGTAGTAGTGTATGGTGTGAAGAGGAAACCAACACGCCGCAAAGGCCAATGTTACTGTAACGAGCATCTTTACGACTCGTTTCTTGGAGCTGTTGATGTTCGCATCGCCGCCGCTTGCAGAGCTTCCGGCAAAACTGTCTTTCCACAGCTTGTGGACTATCATGGAGTAGAGAATCGCCATGAGAACTAAGGGAAAAGCATAGAGCATAACGAACATTCCAATGGCGAAGAATTTGTTGAAGCTGACTGGCATACGCTGCCAGTCGGGATGGCAGAAGTACCGTTCATCTCCTGGGATTGCTTGGTTGACGGTGTACACTTCAAGATGGAGTCCCATGGTGCCGATGGCGATTATCCAGATAACGACTAACGAGACCTTTGAGGTCCTGAGGTTAAGGCAGGTTTTCCATACAAAGACGATGGACACAAATCTGTCCACCGTAATGACGATGAGCGTGATGACTGATGCTGCGATGGATGCCGTCAGAGAGAAATGGATCGTCTTACAGAGGATCAAGCCGACAATTCCACTGAACCATTCAAGCCCCACGAAGAGATAAGCGACAGAGTATGGCATGATGAACACTGTTACTAACAGGTCTGCAATTGCCATATTGACTATCAAAAGGTTCAGTACGCTCCTCATGCTCTGTCTCTTGAAGACTACATACAGAACAAGAGAGTTGCCCAGGAGAGCGATGGGAAAAATGATGGCGTACAACACAGTTAAAACAACTTGTAATGATACTGTCGTTACTTGCTTACACATGGCCCCAGTTGTGCCGTTTTCTGAAATGAAAAAAAGAAAAAAAAATTCAAAATTTAACAATAGCTCATGATTTTTCACCTATTAGATCAGTCGATCATGTTGTCTGTAGTTCACATGAATGCAGCTTTTTCAGTTCGATACTTCGTGATACGTTTCCGAACAGTGCAATGAATAATCTTGTCATTGGTTACTTCAGAACCACGTTCAGTGAAAGTGTCCTTACGAGTAGTCCGTAAAGAAAGGCGTGACTCAGTCAGTTGAGTTGAAAACGTTTTCGCAATCTTCTTGTTGTTTCTTCCAGCCAAGTTAAGAAAATCTAAGCACTTCTGGGTATAAAAAAATTTATATGCAACTTTAACACTCTCTATAGACGGAAATAATTTCAGTAGCGACACAAGGTTGGGTATGGGTAATTTGAAGTACTGTATACTTAAATCGAAGTGTATTACTTAACGATTCAAACTTACACAAGACTGCTATAATTGATGTACCGTTGATGCCATAAAAAAGTCCATCTGCAGTCTTTCACAATTTTGGAGAGCCCTCTTCTGAAATGCGTACCATTACTAAAACACGCAACTGTACCGCATAGTGCGTGGTTTTATTCGTCTTTGTTATGACGCTCATCATCGTTTAAGATAATACAACTCCTTTTGGTTAAAATGCTCGATGAAACTAAGGACTCTTGCTCTGAAAAATTTCACAAACAGAAAATAAAAAATAAAATAGAAAGATATTTGTGATTATGTGGCCAATGCACATTGTAATTTTCTTTCAAATCTCACACTGCCATGGAAAAATAATCAGAATTTTTTGGTCTTGCTCTTGACCTATACATTGCTTATACGACCTGTTGCTTATACATTGCTTATACGACCATAATAGTTTGAATTTTATGACTCATAAGGACTGTTGAAAACATATTTGTCGGCTAAGGCAAACTGTCTGTTGCGGATTTTGATAGCAAAGAATTAGGCAGGGACGATCAAATGTACAAAAGACGCTCCCATTTGTGAGCTCTGCTGACAAATGACTGAATAACTTGTCAGGTAGCAATGACGTTTAAGTTAAGTTAAGTTTAATTCGTGAGATGAACGTGAAAACACGTAAAAATCTACCTTTTTCATAAGCGATCAAAATTACGTTATTCGCATTAAAGATAAGGGAACCTTGTATTAATATTTTAACGGAACCATAGAATCTCTCTCCGTATGGTCAGTTTAAATAAACGTTCTTTAGTTTTGACGCCATTTAAGAGCCTCCTTTATAGGTCAACGAGGTATCCTTATCTTAAGTTGAAACCAATAAACATAATAACAAAACACTTAAAAGGAGATCTTATCGGTGAAAAGAATTTAGGCACAGAACATGTTATTTGCGAGTTGTAGACTTAGGTAAAGTAGAGATGCGCTAACATGATTTTTAATGAAGTCTACGTCACGTTGAATGAACTTTGACGGTTGGCTTTCATTTCAATATAACTACATCAACAAGTGTTACGGTAGGAAATTAACTAAGAAGGTTAATGGGATGTATTTTTTGGTAGTTCATGCATTTACGCCCTGCAGCCCTTACGTACAAGGGTACTGTTGTTTCCACTTAGGGTAAGGGAATATTCAGATGTTATGCATTCCTAGGCTATCCCACAAGTTGAGAATAAACAGGTTTCATAAGGTTTCATAAACAGTTTGTGCAATAAATTCTGAACGACGGTGTTAGTATAATCTATTCTTATACAAATTAGAGTCGTTAATATTGTAAACCGTTTAATAAACATTTTTCCTGAAAACCAATCCTTTAAGTATGTTTTGCATTGCCCGCAGTCAGAAGGAGGTACCTAGAGAACTTTAGACGTCAGATCTGAAAACCGGTTTCTCGTTGTACAAATGTCGTTTTCATTCTTTACTGGGAATGGTTGAATTATTAGGGTATGCGTATCAAGTACGTGAGGGGAAACTGAGCGACATTACGAGGAATTCGTTAATGGTGAAAACTTGCCAGAATATTTTCAAAAGATCTATTTTATTAATATCCGGGTTCATCTCACATTTCATGAAAATAGGATTCCCCAGGAAATGTTTCTAGTTGTCGCCCTGGTATCAAAACTCGGTAAAATACATCCTCAAATACCATGTTACGTATTATTAAAAACCGGATCATTGGATAACGCAATTCGAGGGTTTTCATTGGCCTAGCCATCATGAGTTAAGAGCCATTGTACCATGATCTACAGATATGGTAAGCGTTCACGTATGGGCGTTCTTACTTATATTTTAGATTAGGTTTCTTCAGTTTTGGAACGTTTTTACAAAACAATTATTCCACTCGCGCTATCTACCATCTCATATCCAACTCGCGCTCGTGAAATAATTGTTCATTAACACATTTTGGTGAATTACTTTTCTTGTAGGTAGTAAAACATTTCATAGACTATTTGTGTCGAAGTATTAACAAGGCTCAAGGAAAATTGTTTAACAGCAGTAAGTTTACAATTTCTAATTGCGATCGGCTGGGAAAGGCCTCAACTGTGACATGTGTGGTATCGCAGATTTGAAATTAACCTCTTGATTAGCACTAGTTCAAAATGCAGCAGATTCCTTTCCATATCTATCTCTCTTATAGAGGGTTCAAAATGAGGGAAAGGGGATGATTGAAGAGGGAGATTACATCACGTGCAACCACCGATTAACCCCGGACATTATCCGGCTAAGTTGTTCAAAGTGCGTGCTAAAAGGTTAAACTAAATTCGCCGTTAATCCTTTGAGATTACTACAGCTTTATTCAAGTTTTCAGTCATACCAACTAGTCAAATAGTCATTGTTAAAATCTGGTATTTTTTCCTTCTCTTACAAGGAGAGTCTTAATCCTGTATTACCGAGTTATGTGTTCCGAAATAAGGCCCAGACAGAGTATTACCCCTGATGGTATATGTAATAATCATGAAGTAATAATAGTAAGACGTGAGCTTAGGTAAACACTCTTAAAGCAATGGTGGACTAACCTGCTTGACTTAAGCACTGACAGGCCAATGTTAGAAATTTACGTTGTGCCCAAAGGACTGAACTGATTATTCTTAAGGGAAAGTTCTGTAGCTTGGTTGCGTGACTTGGAAGCAAGAAAATTGACCGATTGCTAGCTCGCACGAGACCATCTATTGAACGACTTTAAATTGGTGATGACTGGGAGTGTCTTAGTATAATTAATGAGCACGATACGTGCACGTAAAGGCTTGTTAAAAAAACTGTTCGGCTCAATACGGTTTTCTTGAAAAATACCCATTATTTATATATTTGTAGGTTTCGTCTTCTATTCAAAAATTGTCATAGCGTTGTATGAATGAAGGGGTGTTACCTTCTCACACTGTCTCGTGATACAGGTCTCGTGATATTCTGAAGACACGTGTGTTAAAAAGGGGACTTCCTGTGGGCTCCCTGTTTAAATATTCTTATTATTTTTAACCTAAGCATCCTTAGTCTCTCAGTATCTTTTAGCGTAACTTCTTGCAAATTCATTAACGCAGGAAGAGGCTATGAAATGTTGAGATAACTATAAGTTTACACTGATTTAAAAGTGAAAACGGTCTGAGGAATACTTTTTATTTAAGGATATACTAAGGGCTAAATATCGCTTATGTACAAGTGTCATTGTGGTAACTAAAAAATCATAATATCGTGTGTCTCAAATTCTGAACATCGAGGCTAACCTAAACAGCACGTAACGCATACGTGATTATGATATTAAGTATTGGCCACTTAAGATGACAAACCGTATGGTAGTTACATGTTTACTGGCTATGATCATTTAAATTGTTGTGTCGGCCATTTGAAGAACGCTTACAGTTTGACAAAAATAATTCACCCTCTTATCTTAAACTTATAGTCACAAATTCAGCCTCATTTATTTTGCAAAGATCATTTTCATTGAGTCCAAGAACTAATTAATTATACATTTCTCAAGTTAGATTAACTGGCTGAACTGACCAATATACAACAATAGATTAATCAATCTTTTTCGTAATTTACATCTTTAGTAAGGAAGCAAGGTTGGCAATGATGCACGCAATTTGTTGAGCTTTAAACCGGTAATCTAATGAAATCTCTGTATATTTGTTAAGGTTTTAATCAAACTTGACAAACATTAGATGTTTCCACCTGGGCGAGATCAGCTAACAGATTTCTCGACGCGGAAGACAGATTCAGAAAACATTCACTTGGCAAACACACAAAAATCTTTGAACTACCTGACAATCAAGTTATTCACTACAGAAATATAGGACCCTTCAGTTCTTAATGATACTTAATATCAATGGAAACGCTTACGGGCCCACTTCAGAAGGATTATAAAAATACACTCATCATTGATAATCGTTTCCACAAAGAAAGGATGAAGAAAGAAAAAAAAAAAAAAAAACCACGTTGGAATAAATGTAGTCATAGCTTTACATGATTGCATAGTTAATCTTTCTGTACAGCATTCTGGAAACTTTTCAAATCCTCAATGTTGATGTCCACTAGTGCATATACAAATAATACGCGAAGGTATTTTTTCGTTACCACGCAGGTGACAATTTCAACCAACACCGAAACGACCCCTGACACGCTTCATAAAAGCTATTTTGGATACCCCACAGGCTCAACCCTCATCATTTATCAGAAATTAATCTCTAAAAAAGTGTAATTTGTCAATGAAAGGCAACTGATATTAAATTCACTGGCTAATGGCTATAAAGACATCCATTACATTTTGATTTCAATGGATTTTGCCAACATCATGCTAGCAGGCAAAGAACTAATTGTCACGTATCGATAATGAATCGATAATGAACAGCCCCGCATAGTTGTCGGAATAATTCGCAGTGTTCGTAATTTTTTGTTATTCTTCCGAATAGCTTTTATTTGAAGTCTCTATACTCTGAACGAAGAATAATAGGAATCAGACCACATTTGGAGTCAACGCCGATGTGAGCTGGGATAGACCGATTTATTTAATTTTGAAAAATTCTCTCATTGTCATATCGACAAGATTGTCTCAGAGTCCATTTTGAGGAAGAAGAGAACGGCACTGCACTATAATTCGGAGAACGTTAACGTCTGAAAACAAACTGTAGCGCTAGTACAAATCCCGTCTATTCCGTAGACGTCCTACTGGCCACAAATACTCGAAATTAAGTTGAATTATGAAACATTGTTTTCGTAATGCTTAAAATTCCTCTATCTGAATTGTAGTTGTATAATTGTAGCGTTCTTATTTTTTAAAGTGCATCTAATGTAGGGCAACATTCAATAGAACCACGAAAGCGAGGTTTAGTTCAGTTTCCTTACTAAGGTTCAAGATGCATAAAGTATGGGTTATTTATGCGTCCATTTCCGTTCGTGCTTAGATCCACTTTAACAAAGCTAACACCGCAGTCATCAGATAAGCGAGTTTAGTTGTTTCCACTGTTAATAAGGGTTAATTAATGCTTTGCCTCAATGGAAATAGCCTTTATTACATCTGAAGTGTAGTAATTTGCACACATATAGCCTGCTTGAAACGTTCAAACTGGCACTGATGATGAAAACGGCGAGCCAACTATCAGGCTTAAGCTAGTTTGATCGTGTTGAGTAATAGAGATTTCCAATTTGTTTCTTAATATCGTGATCATAACCTACCTTCGTTTAGCAATAGTGATGAATTTGCCATCTTTGTGGTATGTGCGGACGTTGTAATTCAGCTTTTACTCTGCAAGAATAAGCAGTGCAGTGCGTCACGTATTTTCACAACCCAGAGCACATTCATAAATGTTAAGTGGTCACTTATGTTCTAATTTTACGGCCGTAACTTAAAAAATGACCAGCGCTTCAATGGTTTTGTGACCTCCAAAAAAGGATTCGGAATGTACCAATTTATTTGTTTCCGAGTGCCATCAACGTTATTACTTTATTGTGGTGTTGTTCTTTTCAGCTAAAGGATTTTTTTTTGTGTTGTGGACGCTATTTTACAAAAGAATTAGAAAGCAATTAGGCTTGTTTACATCATTGCTAAAAACCTCTGTGGTATTACTAGACAATTTCGGGATACTATTGCTATTTCATTTTTAGATGACTCATAAAGGTCCTGAGTCAGGTACTAACAGACTTTGATATGAAGAGCGTTTGGCCAAAAACCGAAATGCACATGTTCCATTGAGTAATTCACAGATAATTGTCGAGAGAATGGAGGATCAAGGGATTAAACTTGTATATTTACTACACGGAGTCTTAGTGATAAAATGTGAATGTCAGAAATTGATCGGTCGATCAACGTCAAAAGTGCTCACTTGCAAACTAGCATTTCTTGTGTAAAATGTTTATCGTTGATTAACTCGCTAAATGGTGGAAAGACTAGGTTTTGTCTTTTCGGGCTAACATGTCTACCTCTTGAAAGCAAAGAATAAGTGTTACTGTGCGTTTAATGCAGCATCTAATTACGAAATTGTCTTGCATGGTGAGGCAAATAATAACTTGTTGGTAAACATTGTTTGGGATTCAAAATTCCCTCATTACTGACAACACAGAGTGATTCATAAAATCACCGCTTAATTGACAGACGCAGCTAATCTTGTTATGGGATATTATCCCGGCTTTGTGTCATAAGAGCTTTTAAACAATGCAGTATATATTTCCAATTTAACTTTTACAGTACACTATTTGGCATTCCACTCTTCTCCTAAAGCGGCCGATTGAAATTAAGTTATAGATTACTCCGTATTATGCCATGTCAAAACATCGTTTGGGTCAACAATAAAGGATCTGGAACAGGAAACTTCACAGTGTACAAGAACTCCGAAAAAAGGCACTCTCAAATTTGGTTTGATAGTGACTGCAGTAATGTAAGAAAACTTTTAAGCCGCCTTTCACATAAAACCCATAAAA